GAAGTATGGCGCGGAGTGGTTACTAGACTCTATGTGGGCATTAGTAGGATGGGACATTGCAAGCATTTGATATGTATACGGTGCATTTTAACACAGATATGCGTGCCACATTTGCTTTATGTGCTCTGTTATGCTTGCTATCTAGACCAGTATCCCATGGATAAATCAGGTACAACTCCCAATTCCAAGATTTCTCAAACAATTTCATTATGGTCTAGTATGTCGCAGCCAGTCTCATCTCCAGATAGTCTCCAGAGTTGATGCCCGCATACTTTCTCTCTCCCTTGTCGCCTCCATACGTCCCTTCAATGGCCTCAATCTGACTATCAAAGTTCGGATTGCAAAAGTACGCGACGCTGTATCTGGCAGGATGGGTGTTTCCCTCTGTAGAAGCAGGTGGCTCTACCACTCGATGCAGCGTGCTTTTGATACTGTCATTACTCCACCTCGCCAACAAATCACCTGCATTGATAACTACCGTCCCCGAGATTGGCGTCGCATCAATGAACGTGCCATTTGGGCTCTTGACCTGCAAGCCACCCCTATTGTCCTGGAACAGCAATGTGATGCTCCCATAGTCTGTATGCTCACCAGCCCTCACCTGTAACTTGTTCTTGAACATGTCCTTTGCCGCAGGCGGATAGTGTAGTAATCGTAGAGTGTTATCACCGACGTCTGTATAGGAATCGAAGTATGCTTCCGAGAGACCCATGCCGACAGCTATAGCACGCATGACTTCTATATGCAGAGTCTTGCACTCGTCGTGGAAATTCAACATAATATCTTTGAAAATCACAGCATCGTTATCATCATCACTAGGCCAGTTATTCGGCATGCCTTCTGCGCCCTCTCTCCCAATCTCAAAGCTCTCCTTCAAGTCTGGAGCTGCACCTCTAAGCTTCTCGACTTCCTCTTTCGACGTCAACGTCGTGGTCTTCTCGCGGCCAGTAGCAGTGTATCCGCGATTCGCACGCGGTGTCGTCCATGCTAACGCATGTTTCTGAGATGTAGGGCGAGTGAAGAACTTCGCGGAGGTAGAGAAGACAGTGGAGAGTGTAGAGGGAGAAATAGGGTGGTTTGTGAGGTAGATGAAGCCGGCGGTTTGGAAACCAGTGAGGATTGCGGCAGCCGTAGCCTGGCGTTGAGCAGGTGTGCCGGTGAGGAAGAGGGAGAAGTCTATTAGAGGGATAACGAGGTTGTCACTGTCGACGGCGCTGGTTTGCGCGATTGGGTCGGCGGAGGGCATTGTGTCTGGTGTGAACTCTTACTGCTGGGATGAGGGGGCTTGCTATACTTGGAGTGGAGGGACAGATAGTGAGTGACATATGGCCATCCTTATACATCGTATAACGAGAGGTAGTGAGACTACGGCGTCCTCCGCGATTGAACGCAGCCCTTGTGCCACGAGCTCCAGCCCTATTCGGGAGATAGCGGGGCTGGATTCAAGATAACAGTATTTGTGGAACATCATCCAATTAGAAGCATTGTACTAGAAATCGCCAGATAGGTTAGGTGTAACAAGCGACATACCCTCAGTCGACTTTGATGATTATTCCGTGCTCAGATTACCGTTCTCCAAAATCACTATTCCAACTTATCTTGCTAATATTACGGTCATGTCTATCAAATCTTCTATTGTGGACATCCACACACATGTCTACCCCCCATCATACATCAATCTTCTCAAAGCCAGGAAGTCGATCCCATATATAATCTCAGTACCAGACTCAGAATCACTGCGGCTAGTCATACTCCCCGCCGAGGACACAGAAAGTACTTCACGAGGAAGACCCGTGGGGGCAGAGTACTATGATACCAATGAGAAGATCAAGTTTATGGATCTTCACTCCATCGATATCTCAGTCATCTCACTAGCGAATCCATGGCTTGATTGGGCGACTCCAGAAGAAGCTGGTCAAGCGGCCAAAGATATCAACGATGAAGTTGATGCTGAATGCGGGAAGTTTCCAGGGAGACTGTTTGCTTTTGCAACGTTGCCATTGAGTGGTGGGAAGGAAGTGGTCGTCAAGGAGATACAACGACTGAAAGAGTTGAAGTATATGCGTGGCATAGTTCTCGGAACGACGGGCTTGGGGAAGGGCCTTGACGATCCTGAGTTGCTGCCTATCTTTGAGACGTTGCAGGAGGCTAAGCTGCCTATATTCTTGCACCCGCATTATGGGCTCCCGTCGTCAGTCTGGGGAGAGAGGAGTAATGATTATGGCCATGTCTTGCCTCTGGCCCTGGGATTTCCTATGGAGACGACAATTGCGGTAACACGCATGATACTCGCAAGTGTCTTTGAGAAGGTTCCAGACCTAGAGATGATACTTGCTCACTCCGGTGGTACACTCCCCTTCCTCGCTGGTCGGATCGAGTCGTGCATAGAACACGACGGCCATCTCAAAGCTGAAGGAAAGCTAGGAAATGGCCGGAAGACCGTCCGGGATATTTTGAAGAAGAACATCTTTCTGGATGCAGTCATCTACGGTGATGTAGGGCTGAAGGCGGCGATACAGGCGAGTGGTGAGGATAGAGTACTATTTGGAACTGATCATCCTTTCTTTCCACCGCTCGTAGAGGACGGTGGGAAGTGGGCGAGCGTGGAGACGAATTATGAGGGTATCAAAGGAGCATTGGGCAGTCATACGGATGGTGCGGAGGCTGCTTTGGGTGGAAATGCAGTGAGGATATTGAATTTGAATGTCTGAGTTAGCCGGGATCCTTCTCCGCTGTCAGACGATACGAAATATTCACGTCGATTTTGCCATCCAAATGTGTCGAAGAGTCTGATACTTCATGTGAAGGTGTGTTTTGATTCAGGAGACAGACAACAAGCAGGCAACAAGCAATCTTGTAATCTAAGCTAACGCGACTATCATTTTGACATTGGCACTCCTTCTGACGGGTTCATTAACGATTGGATGACACAGTATCTTGGGGCAAATTGAGGAATCCTCATGACAGCCAGCATTATCAAAATATTAAAATCCCCCATTACAATACAGTCTGAAAGCAGTAAGCTCCAGTTAGCCCGGTGCTAAGAATGCCAAAAGTTCAAATTTTGCCAGCGATCGGAGCACATAAGAACTCAACGTTCAACCAATTGACTGCGATACTATGATTGTGAGAACAGTATTGCTTTCAATCCTCTGGTACAATGAGGAGGCACTACCGTGTCTAGCTTGACATGGACGTACACATCACTAGCTTCACTCGTGCCCATACTTAAATCCGACTGGACCTTCTCTACCTCGACAAACCCGAACTTCTCATGCAACATCCCGGCCATCGGAGAAGAATCGATTCAAGCAGGCGTCTTCTCTTTATCCGCGAAACGCATACCTCGTTCCAAATTCACAGAAGCAATACCTATCCCACAAAACTAGGGCAAGATGCAGAACAGATCAAGCGCTAACGTGTTCAGCTATCTCCCATATCCGCATGCTCACTAACCTCAACTTCTCCTTCATAGGTAAAATCTGCAAGCTCATCATTTTAGTTCCTCAACAATCAAGAGGATTAAGCAAGGAGAAAGAGTAGGCTGTTAGACATGCATAGATTTATTGCTTTCGCAAATCACAGAGCCAGAGACGCACTCCTCTACTCGACGTTTATGATGGTGATAAAGGCTCGCAAAGATTCAGCAACTGTATTGTGGTAGACAGGTGGTCTACCACGCTGAATCTAGCAGCAGTCAACAACTCTGAGTCTTATACAGCCTATCAAACCCCGCAGGATCACTACGGATATTTGCAGGACGTTCATAGGCTGTTGAACTGCAAGCTGATACAACAAATACCCTCTCAAACCACTGCTAAGTTCGCCACTGCAGCGTGATATATCTCGGCATGTCATCCTGAGGACTGCCCGATTACTAAATCTTGCTACGGTATCCCAAGAATGATAGCGAAGTGAAGCTACATGAACATGTGATTCTCAACTCTTTTTCTGCTTGCCAAATTCTCACCCGCTATTATTGCGCACTGAGGCGTGCAGTGCTACGCTGTCAGGGATAAGTGGTATAAAGGGTAACTTCGATTTCGGACTCTGCTACTTGAAGGGTCCATTCTAAATACAAGCCTAGATATGGTCCTCATATTCCTGCTTCAGATCAAAGCAGCGAGCCATGTATGGTCACTCGGCAATAGATTTCAATAAACCCGTTGTTTGACCAGACAGCTGCTCGGTCTCATGCAATATTCCAGATATACCTAGTGCCGCATCCTTTTCCATCCATACCGGAGACAATACCTCCGCCATACAGTACTACTTGGTACACACCATAGGGTCCAAAGCGCAGGCTCCTGAGAAGAAGACTGGATTCTGGATGGTGGTATAAGAGAGAGCTCCGACAGCATTGGGGTGGATCATCGAGCCATTGGAAGACCGATTCGATAGTGGCTACACTTAAAGCAGGCAATTATCTCATGCGGGATGAAATCATAGCGCTGTATAGCGAGTATAAACCGCAATTCTACCCCGAGTGTGTGAAGCTTGAAGTGCACAAGATGGTACCGAAGTAACTGGGGACAAGTATCTTGTGATGCTCCCTGGAGCATATTCCATGGAGCATATTCCATGGACCGTACGATTTATATCTAAAGCTTAGGAGATATTGCTTAACGTCTAATAGTCGACACCAAATACCTGATGTAGCGTTATCTTGGTACTGTGGTTGCTTAGTCAACCTTTCATGGACTGGATCATGCGGCAAGTCAAGTGACAAGTGACAAGTGACACATTGACTAGATAGATATATAGGTGGCTCTTACCTCTATAAATCGGGCTATGGTTACGATCTTTCTGATTCAGGAATCATGAAAGATTTATCTCATGTCTGTGAGTTGCTCGTTGGGGTTTCTTTTACCTCGGCAAAGAGATAAAGAAAGCTATATAATTTATTAACCCAAATGCAAAAGTCTAAAAAAAGCACATATCTTGCTTGGTCGTAAGTTCCGTCCTTCTCCATAATCAGCCAGAAGTTTAGCATTTGACAGTTCTGCAGTAGTGGTCATGATTTCCGCTTGTCATCGCTGGCAATTCGCGGGAGACCGGGGTTCGATTCCCCGAGCGAGAGATGTAATTATCATTTTGTAGTCGGGGTTCTGTCTATGTTTTTGATACAGGAGCTAACTCAACCTAACGAGTAGTTAGAGTTGGATTTCAAGAGTGTTGTCTGCATTCCAATTAATACCCCTCGTAAAGTTTGAAATATTGCGGCTGATTATATATGCATTTTGGCTGGCAAAAGGTCAAACTCCTACCTTCACGTCGGTGCCAGCTGTAAACGCCTGCCAGTTTCTCCGAGACTGTGGAGGATAGCTGAGCCTGTTTACTTCTGCTGAGGGACTGCAGATAATATCTGGGGGGCTTTCAGGCTTGGTGCTCTTGTGTTACAACTTTTGGCACCTTTACGCTAACGAACTACATCTTTTTCACCGAGCAGTATCTGCCACGTCGTTATCGGCTCGATAAACACTCAGTGTACGGTAGCAGTGCTTCGACTCGGTAATACAGCAGTTTGAACGATTCTGCCTCCAAACCAGAGTTTTCACTTATCCCTTAGCATTGCACAGCCACGACTACGAATATACAGGAGGACGATACAGCGAATAACGATTGAATAACAATATCTCATGTAGTTCCTTACGATTCTGTAGGTGCGGATCCCTGCTACACTGCTCTCCGTAATAGAGATGAAGAGGTACTTCACTTTCCCTTTGGATCGATCCCTTTGGCATATTCGACACGGCCGTCATCGTACAATGCTTTCAATTCTAGAAAGTTACACCTAGCTCGTCAGATACGAAGGGTACCTTTTGCTGATCTTCTGGTGATTCCTCTCACCAGTTGCGATACTGGCGCTTGGCTACATAGTTGGACTCGACTTCAACCTTTCATCTTGGTATCTCATTACAATACGGTCTGGCAGAAATCCGACCTTAAACCGAGGCGCTGAGGGATGAAGAAGTGAGGACATATTGGCCTTTGAGACACACCCAAATAAGGTTGTACACAAAGAATTCGTTGCCCGGGAGCTGCTGGAATGAAGAGTCATCCTTAGCTCCGCGCTTTGGTCGTGTACTTTGGTACTTGGATCACTGCTCTGTCTCTTGCACTAGCTAGGCTTTGATAAAGTTCTCCTACGAGACGGCACACTCAAAGCCAGCGTTCGGCTGGTTGTTAGTACGTAAAACAGGTTAATATGCGTGCTTTAAGAGTTATGCCAAATGGAATATTGTGGATAGTACACCTTGTGGAAGGGACTAGGAGAGAGATAAAGGAGACTGAATATATTACCTGACGGGTAGGTATTCGGCCTCATGGGGCAAGAAGGCTTATCCGCCGAGCTGCCATTCCATGGCCTGTGGAATGCCAATCCTTGACGGCCAGTGTCTTTAAACAATCAGAGGGCTCCATCTGTCGCCTGAAAAAGGGGCATTTTCATGATTCCAAGGACTTTTCATGAAACATAGCCGTACAATCTCTTCCTGAGCTCTTCAAATTGCATGGGCGCATTTTACAAGTATCACAATGCCACGAAGTTTTATGGCTCTCGCTAGAACGCCCCACATTTGCCGTCTCCTGTAGCAGCAATGTGACGATATCAATCTCATTGGTATACTATTCATCTAAAAAGGCAGCTGATTTTCATCAATTTTCCAAAACTGTCATCATTACTAGCCTTAGTCACCTCTCCAATCGGCTTGAACATCCTAGAGCACGAATCCTCGACTGGAGTCTCAGCTTCTTTCAGTCCAAAGTACTGAGCACCAGCATTCCCAAAATCTGTCTGAGCCCAACCTGGCGTTACAACAAAAGATTCATTCTTCTCTTCGTCTGCATCGATTCTTAGGGTGAGCCAGTGAACAGCTGCTTTCGATGGGCCATAGCCGGCATTGGTATTTGGTGGCATGTTCCTATCTCCAGATTAGTCATTCTATACAGTGAAGCTGAGTAAGTCTCTCTTACTACTGGAAGTCAACCACGATATCACGCACGGATTATGTGAAGAATAGATTATCTAGATACCCGAGCGACATCGATATGATCTTGCTGAGCGGGATATCCTGGGCATCTAAATTGATGGAACCCGTGACCCCGAGAATGTGGACTTCGATTATCTCCGTAACGATATAGCCATTTCAATGAGCCGCGATGCCCAGTACATCGCTTACAATGGTCGCTCTCGCCAGAGGTAATATATCAGCTGTTGTACAGTATATAGCATATACTCCGTAGAGACTTATCACAGTCGGTAGTGAGCAAAGTCGAGATTGGACATGACTCCACAGCTGTGTTCTTCTCTCTGAACACTTCCATGAGTAAAGGATGTCTCGCAAGAACGTAGCCATGCCCAATACGTTTCGATTTGAGCAGAATAGCATCGAAGAGATTGCCATCTACCTTATCGCCATGCTCTAGTGTTTCTCCACAGTGGAAGAGGAATGGGATGTCCAGACTCAGTGCATCGCACTTCTTCCGGAAAGCCAGGATTTCAGGTACGAAATGACGAAGCTCATTCCCCATCTCTTCGTGTCCTACCAAATCGAACCCTGCATACCATGTCAGCTCTCACACCGCCCAGCCATTACAGCCATACATACCACAGAGAAGGTGCCTGTACTTTTGCTTCAGGTCAATACACTCATTCAAAGAATCCATGATAATCTCTCTGCTGAATGATCGCGGGGTACAGTAGATGACTTTCATGCCACCGAAGAATTTACCCTCTCGTGCCAATTAAGCTTGAGTACTCTTCAACTCCTCGTCGATAATTCTCAAAACATCCCTGTTCCCCATGAGCCTTTCTCCATCATCAGATCTGAGGGAATTGGCTTTTATGAAATTTGGACGAATCTCAGCGTATTGGATATTTTCGGCGACAAAATCTTCGATGCAAGCTTGAGTATAGTTGCGAAATGCAAATTCATAGACGAAAAGACCTTTCATCATCTGAGTGCGATAATTGTACCTCTCCCATATGCTAGCGACCTATGAGTTTTGTGCGGTCTGAATGGAACGAGAAACCTGACTTATCCGTGACCTGTCTGCTGAGAATCATGAGCTCCCTCCTCTGAAAATAGTATTTTTGACACTAGCCATTTCTCAGCGCCAGAAACACCCTGCAAGAGTTGTCCTGACTGGTCGCGATACTTGAAACGCTTCAGGAATTTTTTATAAGGCATCCACGAATTGGCGACATAATCAGATCTCGAGATATCACCAAATGGTGTATGAACCTCAACGCCACTAACTACGGAGTGAGTAGCATCTCGCAGCTTCATAATCATGAATGAAACGCGGGTCGCATCCATATTCTCCGGTGTCGTCAGAGGAAGTGTACTGCGAATGTACATCGCATCAATATTCCTCGCTTGTTGAATGGGAAAGGTAGCTGGCAAGCATGAGCTGAAGTGAATGTGTAGGTGCGCACCTTTCGGCATTTTCTTTGCGACCTTTAGCAGTTCAGTTTGGTTGATCAGATCGACACTACCCAAAAAGTGCTGGCCGGCCATTCTCTTTCCCTTTGGAGGCGCATTCGTGCTGCAACCATAAGTATTCTTCCAGTCATACCATTGGATCTTCTTCACAATCTCAACAGCCTGTTGCTCAACATTAGACGAAAGCTTCGTTACACCCGCATCAAAAGCCCTTGTCAGCTCTTCCGACTTTAAATCCAATCTCGCGGCTTCATATATCTCGGGAGTATCCAATCCAACATTAAGAGCCGCTCTCCATCCCAGCAAGGGCTTTTTCTCACGTCGTGCAATATTCATACTGGGTTTCCGTTTAGATAATCTGCGTTGCGGTGCTGTTTGCGGCCTTGATTCTCTTGTTGGCTCTTCGCCGTCTTTATCATTAGTTGAGCAAAAAGAGCCCATCGCGTTGACTATTTCTATACACAGTGCTAAACAGTTATAGCTTTATTGCTAAGTATGAGTGTACCATTGTTAGGTTTGTCTGTGAATGAAAGCTTTGTTACCAAGTTGTACGATACAACCATAACACGTGGGATGTATGAGTCTTGTGCCGTGCTTTGTACAATTACATGCTGACTGCCTTTAACTTGAACCTGACAACTAGCTCCTTAGTGAAAATTTGCACATGTACAGACATTCTAAGCACGAAAGTCTCTCTGCAGCATCAATGAGGCACCTAATTTGATCTCAAAGAGTGATTATACGTATTTCTAAGCTCTTGAGAAGAGACAAAATACAGCGTGGAAATTGGAATGCAACCAAATGTCACGTGTACCCACTTTAAACTACATACCTACCTAGTACCTATTCTAAGCATAGCATTGAAACAAAATTGATGGTTTTGAAGACTTGGCAACAACAGGTTGATATTCACGCTGATTGAGCATGATCAACGACATATGATATGATAAGTCAGAAGGCTGAACATGATGTAGCACACCTGGTCTTCAGATAGTCAGTATAAGCCATGAATTTGCCTAACCTACAGCTCCAAACCAAAATGAAGAGTTCGAGGCTTGAACATGCCATAGAGATGTTGAACTCCATGTGAGGTATTTCGAGGCAGATTACGCCTGTAGTTTATTGCTAAGCCCTATCCATTTTCAGGTTACGCGAGAACGCTACCACAGTCTATAGAGTACATTTTTGAGTATATCACAGATTTCTCCATCCGCCAAACACAAGTTGCTTGGATGTTACCTCTACCACATATAACGACAGCTTTCTAGTCGTCGAATTTGATGCCCTTCTTGCCCTCTACATCGATATATCCTCCCCTATAACTTCCTCGCTTCTTCTTATTCTTCTCTTTCGTGAATCCTTTCCCTCTGGTAACAATCAGATCTTCGTGAGCCTTCTGTGCGTAGTCATAGGGAACAAAAGCATTGCTAGCTAGCCGCTCGTCAACCTTCTGGTCTTTAGATATTCTCGAGAATGGAGTGTTGGTCTTCTTGGTGGATTTTATGATTGGGTCGGGTGGCAGAGGTGGTGAAAGTTGTCTCCCTGTTGTAGAGACGTCCTTGATTATTGCATTCTCTGAGCTACTGATTCTAGATCGGCGCAGGTCTTTGTCAAGAGAAGCGCTATCCCCATC